ACGAGTCTCGAAAGGATCAAGAGGCGGGAGAGGACGATGGCGAGGAAGAGGCTAGTGAAGAAGAAGAGGTGGTACAAGCTGCCCAGCCAGCATTCCCCGGCATGGCATTCGATTTAGATTTGGGTCTTGACGATAACGTTGCTAGCGAGGAAGAGATGGTGGAAGAAGAAGAAGAACCACCAAAGCCTCTAACTCGTACAAAGCGTGTTAAGATTCCGCCTATATGGGTTGCCAATAACCGTCGCACCCATGCTGCCCTGATCTACGTGTTCTTCCGTAGCCAAACTGCCGGATTCTTACCACCAGATCCACCACCAGAGCCGCCGCATATCATAATGGCATTCGAAGCTTTCAAACGGGATGATATTATGGAAGTTGTAGAAACCATCCGAGAAGATATACCTCAATATGGTTTCTTCACTAATGATACTCCAGGAGAGGCGAAACTAATAACAAACTCTATATTTAAATATGACGAGATTCAGGAGCCCACATCGGGCGACAGATTCGTGCTGAAAGTTAACAAAGTACAATCTTATACGATGCTGTCTTTGGTCCAATTTGAGCCTACCTACTGTAGTAGCAATATTAAAGCCGGTCGCTTGGATGCACTTAAATTCTTCCCTGAAGACTATAAGACGGATGATGACATACCGCCTGAAGCAGAGATCAAGCCCAAGAAGGTAAAATATTTCATTTTATTTTTATATCCCGAATCAGTAATCGGGTTTCCCTGCCAATCTATGCAACAGGCAGATGGAAGCGTATCCGATCACAAGTCCGTCTGTCCGTTCTTATAAACGCGTCGTTCTCAGCAGAGACTTCAAATTACTAACGTAGATCGTTCCAATGACCGATATGCAGATCAAGTTTTTTTCAAATGAACGATATTTTTCCCTTTTTCCTGTTAGTAAACTGTAGTTTTATGATATTGTGTTCATGGGGGCCTTTTTTGGTCCCAGCAGCATTTAAAACGTGTATTATTTGAGAGCTGAGCTTCTAGTTTTGATAGGATAAGGTTGAGGGTATATCCTAGACGGTAGACGGATCCGACTAAAGCATACTTATAATTATTTTTATTATCCTTTACAGAAAAAGAAAATTCAAATGGAACAAGAAGCAGAAAATGTTGGGTCACGTGCTCCGTCCACTGAGTTGGAGAAAGGCAGTGAGTCCGCCCCAGGTGAAGGTGCGACCGCGGAAGAGGCACCTAAAGGTCCAGAAGGCGAGGCGCAGCCGGGCGATACTCAAACGGCCGAACCAGGGCCGACTGAAGCTCCAGCAACCACAGAACCAGCGGCTGTACCGCCCGAGGGAGCACCTCAACCCACCGAAGGCACCGCCGTACAGGAGCCACCCAAAGAAGAAACTGTTGCTGAACCAGCAGAACCACCTGCTGCGGATGCTCCGCCACCAGCTCCAGAGCCGCCATCCGAACCTGCACCAGCTGAATAGTTTGTTTATATGTATCCATGTATAAAACTTTTGTAACTAAATTTCTGATAAATAGTCACTTCATTTAAAATTTGGTTGTTTCTATGGGAGTCATATAATAAGTTTGCGGGGAACGTGGCTAGTAATACAAAAATTGTGAACTATACGAGAACCACGTACCACAACTGAGTCTGAGACATATCGTCAAAAAATTAGAAACTCTTTTGCCCACATCACATGGAAGATCGTTGCGCTTATACATATGGACGGACATGGCTAGGTCGACCTCGGAAATCTATGTATGTTGAACAGGAATATATGCCTACTTAGCAGATTCTCAAGCATTATAGAACTCCTGCTACACATACTTGCACAAAGCCACACATACACACGGATGATTACGCCTGCTGCGCCGCCCTCCTTAGCCCCCTCCCTGAGCACAACGCCATGTGAAATGCTTTCTTCATTTACTTCGGTAGCTATTGTCAGATCTTTGTGAAATTTCAAAAGTGCAAATATGGCATCCAATGTGGGCAAATGCCAAAGCCTAAATGTCAGATAAACCGCTTTTACCGATTTGGAGTAGGGCATAAAAAGCGTCATATTAATCCATTTTGTATGATTGCCAAAACTGACAAGCAAGCCGCTTTGTATGCACACGCCTTTGTATGTGCATATGTATGTGCATATGTTTTGTATTCTTGGGTGCAAAACGTAAACAAAGAAAAAGCACGCGGTCGCCTCGATAGATTAAAGGTTTTGCTTTCGCATTCATACACCCACACACACACCCACACACACAAACACACACACACACACACACACACATATGCGTGTGCACATGCGTGTATGCCTGCATATTAGGGTGGCTTAAAATTTGCATGTAGAATACAGTCGACAAGTTGTAGTGTAAAATAGATGAAGGGCAGCATAGAAACCATATTGTGCAATTTATTATCATGCATGGATAGGCTGAATATCCAAAGTTCTTCGATATTGCTGCAAGAGTAATGGCAGTTATGATGGTTTCTTGGGGGAGTTTACTAAAATTCACAGCCGATTACAAATGTTCCCATAGAAATTGATCCACCCTAATGCAGATGGTCGCGCTCATGTAAGTGTGTATCCGAAATCGGTGGAAAAGGCTTGATAAATAAATGCTAGTGATGATGAAAGTGCATTTCACAACAATATTTCTTATATGTATCGAGCAATTTACTAAGGCCATTGCCCAAGGCATGCCGATCAGTCCGTGCCCAAAGGTCTTTCAGTACAGATTTGATGGCAGTGAATGGTTCGGTTTAACTGCCATACGAAATCCAGATGTGCAGGCTCTACAGATTCGCGTAACGCTCTCCATGCGGGGCAAGCCGACGACGGTGGGTGTTTGAAATATTGCCAAACGATGTTCTCAAAATACGATTACTCTTTACAGAATTATCTTGGTGAAATTGAGTTGCTGACTCGCGGACAATTTGCAAGCAATGCGCCAGTGCTTTACAAGATTCGATTTCCAAAACATAATTTTCCTCCCAAATTGGTGCTCATTTCGGCTAACAATCAAGTTATTTGTGTCGGTTCTGGCGGTACGCAAACATTCTGTAAACAAACTTGATTGTGATCCCAAGCATAATTCATATTCTTGCAGATCACAGCGTTTTTATGACTCAAATTCAGCTAGAGCATACACGAAAACTTACTTTCATACCAGATAAAAAATCGGGTACATTGGTGCCTCCAGGCGGTGCGGATTTCGGAACGGTAGTTGGTAAGGAGTTGCCAGCAAATAATGAGTTCGGCTCTAAGCCCCTGCCGCACATCCGGTTCAAGAAGTATGCATTTGGATTGTGATTGGCTTTTTTTTAGTGCAATTGTTCTACAGTCATATAATATAATATGTGTATACGTGTGCGCTCGTGTGCATTGATAAGATGGTAATTAATTAGAGTCTTAATGCCATTGCAGAAAACCATTTCATTCAGCTGGAGAAATCTGTGGTAAGATTATTAAAAGTCTTGGCTTTCGATTGCCTCAACAAAGGCAACGTAAAATAATGTCTAAACTTTCATCAACTTTACAAGGACGTGTCACCACCAATAATAGGTTTGGATTGAGTGCGGATCACGCTGATCATTCGCCAGTTTTTGGCTCTACTGGTGATTACGACAACGAAGGCAGCGACACGGTCCTGGATGAGATCGAAGAGGATGGGCTCGACTCAGATGACACGTATACATTTGTGGATGGGCAAAATGCCACGACTGGCAACAGCATGCCGTCAATAACTCGCGGTGCCTGGCCCTGGCTGGCGGCGATTTACGTTAATAATCTAACATCCTTGAACTTTCAGTGCGGTGGCACGCTCATCTCTGCGCGCGTGGTCATAAGCTCGGCGCACTGTTTTCAAATGTTCAACCAGCGTTACACGGCCAACGAAGTGCTTGTCTTTTTGGGCAGGCACAATCTTAAGAACTGGAATGAGGATGGCTCCTTGGCAGCGCCTGTCGATGGTATTTATATACACTCTGATTACAACAAACAGCTGAGTAACTACGACGCGGACATAGCTGTCATTATTCTCAAGGATGAAGTGCGGTAACTATTCTGGCATTGCTTGAGCGCTATTCATTAATTTCGTATGCATTTAATCATTTGGCAGTTTCAACACATTTATACAGCCAGTGTGTCTGTGGACGGGCTCCAGCAAAACGGAATACATTGTTGGCGAGAATGGTATTGTCATTGGCTGGAGTTTCGATAGAACAAATTTAACGAAATTTTCAAAGGATTCATCATCCACATTTGCGCCGGGAAACGGCGCTGCGTCCCATGCGAGTAACAGTATACCAACAGTTGTAAGAGCGCCCATTGTTTCCAATGAGGTGTGCTTCAAGGCCAATGCCCATTTCCGCAGCCTCTCGTCGAACCGCACATTCTGCGCAGGGTTCCTGGTCGACATCCACAGAGATGGTGGCCGCGCTGGTGCCAGCATATATACGGGCATTAGCGGCGCTGGACTTATGATACTTAAGAACAATCGTTGGATGCTGCGAGGGACCGTTTCCGCCGCTTTGCCCGCTGAGCCCAGAGGGTCGCTGAGGAACGATTCCGTTCTCTGTTGTACCAGTCAATATGTCATCTATGCCGATGTGGCAAAGTTTATTGATTGGATTATGGCCTTTATTATATAATTTGTGTAGATACTCTTGTGTAGTGTGATATGCCACCATTCAGATGCTAAATGAATTTGAATTAAATAACTGCTGTGATAACCCTTGGATAGGTTAAGATTTCATTTCACGCGTCACGTGCAGCCTGATCCGAGCTACCTTCAATTTGTGGATTTGAATTTTGCTTTTGTAACGGTTTCTTTTTGCACCTACCTACCCAAACAAATCTGGGCTTAACTTCTTTTAAATTGCTTTTATGGCAGACCCCGGCTACAGCCCCGTTATTTTAGTACCTGGAGCAGCTAGAGCTATGGGATTTGCGAATTCATTTACCTGGCCCACCAATTGTCAGGTGTTCTTCTGTTCGTATAAAGTTGAGGCGCAATAATACATATTACATCATTATTGGTTGAGCCTTGGCTGAACATGTTGAACTTGGTATTAATATTAATCGGACTCGGTTTGGCGGCTGCCAACGATGATGGCTGCAACGAAATGGTCTGCGGCTCGGTGGTGTCCAAGTGTCTGCTTACCCAGAGCTGTCAGTGTAAGCTGAATGACTGTCATTGCTGCAAGGATTGCCTGAACTGCCTGGGCGAGCTGTACACGGAGTGCTGTGGATGTTTGGATATGTGCCCGAAGCACAAAGATGCTCCAACCTCATTGACGCTCCGGTCGGAGATTGGCGATGTTGACGGTGTACCCGAATTGTTTGATACACTCACGGCCGAGGACGATGACCAATGGGCCACCATACGCATTCCCATGCGCTTGGGCGTTAAACAGCGCATCGAAGGTGAATCTAATCTTGTTAATCAGCCCAGATACAGGCCGGCTGCTATTGTCAACTGCACTGTCATTTACGTTAACTCTTGCATTCGATCAAACAAATGCAAGCAACAATGTGAAAGCATGGGAGCCAATAGCTATCGCTGGTTCCACGATGGCTGCTGCGAGTGCGTGGGTGCCCACTGTCTTAACTATGGAATTAACGAGAGCCGCTGCAGCGCCTGTCCGGATCAGGAGCTTCTTGCGGCTGATACTGTGAGTGCCGATGCTGAACAGGATCTGGAGCGTATATTCGGCTTTGAAGATGATTCGTCCAATGATATGTGGGACTATGTTGAGGAGGACGACATGGATTAGATGCACCCTAATCTGACATCAAATTCACCTACATTGTACCTAAATTGTTATTAACTGAATAAACCATACCTCTGGTATACAAAATACTTTCAATCGCGACAATGTGCACACTTAATCAAACTAATCAATAAAAAGCGATTGTTGCAAAAGCAAAAAGTTGCAAGTTTTACAAAAAATTCCCAATGTTGTAAGTCGTTTTTCGTATGCTAGATAAGGTAGGTTTGATACCTATAGCCTACGATCTTTGACCCAAATTATCCATCAAGGAGCCGTTTCAGTCAAACTTTGATCCGCATTTATCATCCACTAGAAATGTTGTTCATTCAGCCTTGGAAATTGCGAAACACGTTTCAGATACATTTGCACAAAGATCTTCGAAAATCGATCAAATACGAATTCCTTCAGTTCCATGCACAATTCTTTTCGCGTGCTATGTAAAAATTATAATAGTTTGCATCACGTTTTCTCTACCGAACTGTCTCTACCCCTAATAAAATCGTTGCTTTCAGGATACCTTCGGGAAGTCGCTGACCATTCCCAGCTATGAGCAGGGGCATAGCTAGCCGGACAGGCTGAAAAATTTTCCCCCACCGTGTCGGTGATTTCCCAATACTTTTCTCTTTGTCCTATCCACTTAACACTCTTTATCTAACTTACATTGCTTTACTTTATTAACAATTTTCTTACTTTCTTTTTTCCTATTTATTGTATTTTCTTTATTAATTTAGCAAATTAAGATTATTTTTAATTTCACTTGAGATCACTTTTTTCCTACTTACAACCTTCTGCTTAGATGTAGGCTCTAATAGCGTCACTGACAAAATTAGCTGTGAAAAGGGGCACAGCTGGCCGGACTGGCAAATAAAACACCTCCATCGGTCGGTGATGCTATTTAGAAAATTGTATCCTTTAACTAGGCTTTTAGAATATACTTATATTGTACAACCTTTTGAATAATGAGGAAGACTCTCGTTTTGTCGACCATTAATAAATAAATAAATAAATAAAAAAAAAAAAAAAAAAAATAAATAAATAAATATATAAATAATGTGGTTCTTCAATTAGGCGATTTGATGATTTTTTGAACTCCTCATAAACACATTCTTAAAGTTTTCCACCCAGGGGGCATGGAGCCTGCGTATCACATTATTTTTTCAAAAATTCGAAAACTTTATATGTTTATTGCATTGAATCAAAAATAGTCAACTGTGTGACTTTAGTGATTTATTGGCAAGCCTTCTGTAACATATCATATTTAGAGATTGAATAAAGATTGATTGTGCTCATTTTGAGTTAAGCTGCTTTTCATCAATAATGGCTTATTTAAGTTGAGTTCACCCGAGTTTCTTGTTCCGGCCAAATTTAATTAGAACTCTTCTACGTCCTGCGCATAATGTGAACAAGTATTTTGGGGCTTGCTAATTGCAAACAGCGCCGTGCAGTCAATGCGCATATGCTGGCTGCTATCGAGCACGTCATCGTCGGCTATCGCTGTCATCATCAAATCAGCTACGTAGGCACATTGCCTACCAATACCTGGTGAACGGATAGCATATCAGTTGAGGCCGAACGGTGCCAGCGAGTGCATCCCAGACGCTGCTCGGAGTCGAATCCGGGTCCTGGGCTGTGGTGTTCGCGAATACAGATCGTTAATCGTGCATGTGTTAGTTAATGTTGTCATGGAGTTTCTTTGGCCCTTGTAACTATTACTCCGGGTGCTCGGTTTTATTTAAACGATTTGATCTCTGAAAATAGCTCGAATTCACAAACCGGAATGGCTGTCGCTTTTCTCGTGTAAAGCGTAATTAGCAGACGAGTCGTGTTTTTTTTTTTTTTTTACGGTCAGGATGCTGGGAGGAGTGGGAGCTCGACGCGGAAGGGTCTCATCACCGATGGGACGCTTAACAAATGCAAACGTCTTTAGTCTGGATGACAACATTGCCATCATTGGAGATGGCGTCATCAGAGGCAGCACACCTCCTGGTCGGCAGCCGTTTAAACAGCGTAGACGACCCGCCACCGACAGTAGTCATGAGAATTTTGCACCATTTCCAAGTCGTCTCAATTTGGGTGATATTATGTAAGTATAGTTAAGTAGATATGCTAGCTGGTATGGCCCGGCTTCGTTCGAGCCAAGTAAGCCTTAAATTTAAGCTACTTCCTTGATTAAATCCCATGCCCTAAATTGCATTTAGTACAGATATTAGATAGACACAAAACATGTCATTTATAACTGTTATTCAAAAATCTTCTGCTAGCATTATTTTATTTTTATTTTTGAAATAAGACTGAAACAAACGGACGTTTCCGTTTCCCCTCCAGGGCGTTAGTCTTTCCGAAAGAAAGATCCCTGAAATTAGTTTAAAGCCGAACTAACATTAAAACAAAATGTTTCATAAGCCGTCTTTTCGCAACTTTCCACAGTTATGGTCGGATTTCCCAAAGCTTCCTAGATTTGAAGGCTAATGTCAAGGAGCACGCGATAAGCGCTGCGACGAGAGAAGCGATTCTATTTCGTGATATGATAAGTGCGATGAGTCCACTGAGGGAAAGCTTTAAGCTAATCGAGTATTCAGCCGTATTTAGTTAACTATTCTTAGTTGAAATTTGAGGGCAATGAGTTCAAATGATTAATGTTGTGGGCTTAAATGCAACATTTACTTTGGTGGTCACTCACTCAATCAAAATCGAGCGGAACGAGGAGAATCTTAAAATTTGTTTGAAGATCTAAGAATTTCTTGGGAATTTTTTACAATCCTTACTGTCGACTATATATGTCATACAATAAGAAAAATGGTGCAGAAATTTTGTAATTCCTATTGTCTTATTTATATTAGGTGAAAACAGACGCTAATACAACAAAAAATATGAACGGTGACAAAGATTTGAAAACTGTTTTTTTTTTATTTCGATGGATTTGATTGTGGTTAAATACCGTTCTGCAGTCCCGCCAGAATCATTGTAGTTCAAATAATATGTTACCAGATGGCGCAATAACATAAGCAGCCCTGTCTGAAAGCTGGTAAACAAACAAATCGATAAGCGAGCAAAAAGCATAATTGTTTTCCAACTGGCAAGTCGTACAGTGTATGTAGAGCCCAGAAATTGTGCCCTGGCGATGGGGGATGAAAACATCATACGAAAGCTTAAAGCTTTATTCAATGCCATATGTGCGATAGAAGCAACACTATCAAGCATCTGTGTCAGATGGAAAGAACGCATGGCTATATCAACGGGCCTACGTTTGCCTATATACACATCTCTTTTATTCCCACGTCCCAACAAAGACAACGTCTTGGTTACATCAAGTGATGTGCAGCTTATTCGCAGCGGCAGTACCTGCAAGTGTTCTGTTTGAGCTTTTTGTGTTCGATCCAAAGCGCAGGACTGTTTGGTTAGCTGGTTGTGCGTGTAGTTGTAGCGTGTAATGTGTAAAGTGTAATACAAAGTCTTCATCGACTTGCGTTTGTTAAGTTTTTCGTCCAACTGGTGAGATAAAGTCGGTAACTGGTCGAACATAGCGGTTTTTGTTTTTTATTTTTGCAAGCGACAATCGAATCTAGAAAACGTACGCTGTTAATTTGTAGTGCAACAAACAAAAAAAAAAAAAAAAAAAAAAAAAAACAACCAAAATCTTGCCATTTATCTTAACTGGGGCTGAACACTCGACTTTTCGTGGTGGCATGTATGTAGCTAAAAATCGGGTCGAGTGGTGAATATAAAGTTAGAAAAGTTCAACTGATTAATTGCGAAATGGTTTGCGTGGAAGCCAAGAAATACATGCGAAGTGAAAGCAACCAAAAGTGAATTAAAAAACCATACATAAATTATATTTGCTTGCCGCATGCACAGGCACTGCAACTGCAATCCGCTAGGACACATCTTCAACATGTTTGTCGCGCTTCGATGGTGTCGCAAGTGGTTGTAATTGTTGAGTTCTCGCTTACATTTGTAGTTAAATAGCCTCAATGTACGCATTTGTTACACACACATATAAACTTATGTACAGACGATTCATACATACATATGTACATACACAATGTACATCTACTTACAAATGCGGCTGCGAATGCGACAGTATGTGCGCGCACTGTTACATATATATATATATATATATATATGTATGTATGTGTGTGCGTGCGTGCGTGTGTGCGTGTATATAACATGGGCTTGGGATTGGGTCAGCGGGTTGGTAGCACAACGGGTGGAATGTTGCGTGGGTGGGGACGGCGTCAGAGCAAGCGTCAGCGACAGTTTTGACAGCGCCAAGTGAATTTTGGTTTCGGTTACAGCGGTTTTCGAGTTGTGACGTGTATGATTCGGAAGGTGAATGAATTGTATCGAACAGCATCTGCAGCAGCACTTTATAGAATAATGCCAAATTGTTTTAAATTATTTCGACAACATACAAATTATTGGAAATGTATGTAAGAGTGTCTGTTGTATGATTACATCCCAGCTACATATATTCGTTAAAATACATTTGTATATTCGTACAGACACGCTTGCATATGTATGTCAATATGTTAACAAGACCAATGTATAAAAGCTGTGGCTTTGGGGCCTAATGCCCCCGGGAATGAAAATTGTGTTGTATGTGCTAATGGGATTTGTATATGCAAACATACCTACGTACTTTTGTCCATTTGGATGTTAGGCCAACATGTATTTGTACGTACATACATTGTTTCAGCTGTGCTCAACTATTTAAACATACAGTGAACGCTCGATAATAGGAAGGCTCGATATAAGAAAATATCGGTTGTAACAAACACCAGTGCAAAATCATTGTTTTTTTTTTGTGTGTTTTTTTTTTTATGATTATTTGTTTTGTATCATAAATAGATAATACTCAAAGTACGGGTACAATGGAAAAGTCACCATCAGTTAATATATTTTAATATACAAATTTTTGGGCAAATGTTGGTTTAGCGTAAATAAATCAATAACACATACTCCGCGGCAGCTTACGGTCGTTCCAATTATTTCTTACTAAATTATTTAATAATAAGGCGATGTATGCTACTTTGGAGCAGCGTGTGGATTTTATTTGTCATCGTACCTTAAAACCCTAAAAGATGGAGCATAACATG